CAGGCGGGTGGGATGAGCCCCGCTGCCCCCCACTGCCCCACGCTGCATAGGGGCTCTGATACAAGCCCCCAGAAGCCTCGAGGCAGCTGAAGCATCTGGTGAGTGGGGGCTTTTTTTTTTTGGTTGGGGGATTCGTGGCAGAGACCCTACATGGTTGGGGTAGTGGGGGGCAGCGGGGATTGCCCCCCCTGCCTGGCCGCAGCGGATGAGTGGGGGCTTTTATTAAAAGAGTTGGGAGCTGGGACTGGGTGGGGCTACCATGTGGGGTGGGGCTGAGAGAATGGGCGGGAGCCAGGGGGCACTCAGGGCGGGCTGGGGGAACAGGCAGGAGATGGGGCCTCGCAGGGGTCCCCCCATGGTCCTCTCCCAGCCTCCCCTCCTCCATCCCCTACTTACCAGCATAGGATGAGTGGGGGCTTTTATTAAAAGAGTTGGGAGCTGGGACTGGGTGGGGCTACCATGTGGGGTGGGGCTGAGAGAATGGGCGGGAGCCAGGGGGCACTCAGGGCGGGCTGGGGGAACAGGCAGGAGATGGGGCCTCGCAGGGGTCCCCCCATGGTCCTCTCCCAGCCTCCCCTCCTCCATCCCCTACTTACCAGCATAGAGTCCGGGTCCAGCTTCATGCAGCAGTGAGCAGGGACTGCCCGAATCGCTGAATCACTCCAAATCTTTCCCAAATCAATTCAGAGACCTTTGAATCAATTCAGACCTTTTCATTGGTCTCCTGATTTGATTCGGATTTGGAGAATCCGCCACCGAATCTTCTCTGAATTGAATTGGCACCCGAAGCTTCACACAGCCCTACTGTGCACGCCATGGAGCTGCTAAGATGGCTACTAAAGGTGGTAGAGTCCTGTATTAACCTTTTCACAGCCACAGCTATTGGCTGAGCCCTGATGCTTGTCTCTGAAGCAGCAAGTGAGCTCCTAGTAGCATCTTGATGAGGCTTGTGGTGTAGAAACAACACTTGATTTACAACCTATATTAAGAACTATGGTACTTATGGTAAAGAACTATGCCCTTGCAAGGGTCTGGGGCCTAACCTTATAAGATGTAGAGTAAGCCCTCCTGGAAACTGATCCTAAAAGATCTTAGCAGGTTTTCCACAAAATTTCCCTAAATTTTGCCTTTGTTCCTTCTGGGAATCCAACAGGTATATTATTCTGACTGCTTTTCAGATACTAAGGGAACAAAAAAGAAAAAAAAAAAAAACCCAGCCTCCCTAATTTCTTTTCTTGAAGGATTCTAATTGGCTAATTCTGACTTTTTGTCCTCTAAGCTTTTCTCTGACTGTAATATCCTCTGATAAGAGGCTGGCTTAGTCTCAGTATTATAATTTTTACTTGGATTTCTTCATTTTTTTTTTGTTCCCATCCTTAACTAATTCAAGGATATCTGAGGACATTGGGGCCATCAGTGCTCTGGTCCTGACTTGCAGTGGGATTCTCACTGAGGGTATTATGCAAAGGTAAATAGGACCCAATCTATGATCATTCAGCTTACTTTAGACATTAGCTGGTGTGGGGAGTCACACCAGGAACATGATCTAAGTAAGTTGCAGTAGGGGAAGGGACAGGTGGTAGGAGAAGGGGTGGATAGTGGGTTTATCCAGTTGACAGGTCTGGGAGAGTTTGGCAGGTTTGCAGGAGAAGTTGGTGGGTCTGTGGTGGGGGTTATCCATACAGAGAATCCATGCAAGAATTTACTGTAAACATATAGTTTATAAAGCACAAGGGAGCATCTGCCATATGCCCAATATTATCTATTCTAACTTGTGACTTATCTTCCTATTCACACTTATGTTGCTAGATATGCAAAAAATATCAACTGGTTAGTCTGAATCTTTTTTTCTTTCCTTTTTCTAGTAGCTCATAGCCATTAACATTTCAAAAATACATTTAACAATAGAGAATTTATGGTCAATACTTTGATTGATATTTTGATTGATATTGATACTTTAATTGATATTAAATGCATGCACAGATATTTCAGTATATGAAGCATTTGTTCAGAGGGGAAAAAACCAAGTAAAAATAACTATTAGAAAAGTGTCTACATAAATACTCAAGAATTTCATGGGCATGAAAAACAATTAATCCTGGAACTTAAAAATCCACACTGTGAAATAATGAAGCTCCAAGGAGTCTTGAGGAAAAAATATTAAGGAAAAAATACTGTGAAATTCTATTACTGTATTTGCTGCCTGCACAGAGCATAGTGCACAATTTTATCTGTCCAATTTTTGGAATGTATGTAGTGGCACCAAAGTCCAGGCATTTTTTAATTATTTGACATATTTCTGCCATACCTTTTAACAAAATGTCTAATATCTAGCTGGTATCCCAAGCTGAGTGGAGCAAGAAATATTCATATGAACTGATGAGAAGATTTCTAGTGGTTCTGTTCAGCATACCATACACTAGGGTATATGTTATAGGGAAAG